GGAATATGTCATCTGGCCCTGGGGATTTATAGGGCTTGACGGATGACACCGCCCACGAAATTTTCTCCATACTAACAATGGAACTGACTAATTCACTTATGTGGATTCGAGAAGCTGCGAGGAGTGGAGCCTTCATTTTCATCATCTCTGCAACCCGGAAAGTGTGTCTCCATAAGTAGTTCCAGAGTTTCGGTGCTACTTTCAGTAAAGTTACCATCCGGTTTCATCAGGAATCCAGGCGTACCGGGGTCTTTGGATAGCACCTTACGTAGACGTGATGCATCCGTGGTACTCTCCAGCTCCTCACAGAAACGCTTCCAGGATTCCTTCTTAGCCCTTCTGGTTTCCCTCTTGAAAGTATTGAAGCTTTGACGATAGTCGTCCCAGCTTAACGGGTTCTGATCCCTCTTCGCTTTATTAAATAGTTTCCTACATTCTTTCCTTAGCTGCATTAGTTTAGGATTCCACCATGGTTGCCGGAATTTCCTAGGTACCTGCCGCATCCTACATGAAGTCCTGGATAGATAATCTACTGAGTCGTCCAAGTCCTGTGTACCATGCAGTCCATCCGTTTCCGGAGGTGGTATGGTATCAATCAGATTACCGAAACGGATGGAACCATAGAGAAGGCACTTGACATAAAGGAATATGTTATGGCATCTTTCTTGGACGTTGAGGGTGCGTTTAACAACGTGAACATATCCGCAATAGTCGATGCACTAGGTGACCTAGGTGTCGATCAGCGGATAAAAAACTGGACAGAAAACATGCTTAAGAGTAGGGCCATTAACTCTAATATGAGTATTGGCAAGACAAGGAAAGTCGTGACAAGGGGCACACCACAAGGTGGTGTTATCTCTCCACTCCTGTGGAATCTTGTCGTGAATAAAATCCTTTTCAGACTCAGTAGGATGGGCTTCAAAGTAGTCGCATATGCTGACGACGTCGTGCTCCTTATTCAAGGGAAGTTTCTTCCCACAATAAGTGAACTCATGGAATCAGCCCTCAGCGTTCTACTATCATGGGCCAAGGAAAACGGTCTGGGTGTCAACCCGGCCAAAACTGAACTGGTTCTTTTCACCAGGAGGTACAAAATTCCAGAATTCAGACCTCCGCGTTTGGATGGTACCATTTTGAACACCTCAAGCGAAGCCAAATATCTTGGCGTAATCATAGACTCTAAACTCACGTGGAAACGTAATGCTGAGAGTCGAATGAAGAAGGCATTATGTGCCTTCTATATATGTAAGAAAACCTTTGGGAAAAGATGGGGTCTTAAACCATACATTGTGCATTGGATGTACACCGCGGTCATAAGACCTATATTGACCTACGGAGCTCTTGTTTGGTGAAGAGCGGTGGATACCAAGACTTATCTCTCTATTCTGAACAAGGTACAAAGATTGGCATGTCTTGCAATCACTGGCTGTTTGAGTTCCACCCCTCAGGCTAGTCTAGAGACGATGCTGAACATAACTCCCCTTGATATATACATCAGTCGAACGGGTTGAAGCACGACCGCATTGGTCATGGCACCATCCTACAAAAGATAGGCAGGCCTATCATGGGGCAGGAAACAGATTACATTCTATCTACACTGAATTTTAATAGGTCATTCAAGACCAAAATACCGACAAGGGATGATTGGGCCGCGAATACTGTCCTAAGGGATGACGTGATCTCAATCTACACAGATGGCTCAAAGACTGAAAGAGGCACGGGATCGGGAATCTTCTCGGATAAACTAAATCTTCTACTGTCTCTTCGACTACCTGACACCTGCACGGTCCTTCAGGCAGAGATATATGCCATCTATACTGCCGCGAGAAGAATCCGGGAACTAAATCTCGAAAATTCGACTATACATATATACTTGGACAGCCTTGCATCAATCAAGGCTCTTAACTCCAATGTTATTAAGTCGGAATGTCTTCTCAATTGCAATCAATCCGGAGGTGGTATGGTATCAATCAGATTACTGAATTTGACCCAGTCGGTTTTCCTAGGATTTCTAAAGGGGTTTTCCCTAGCCATCGTAAGCTGTATCGTAAAGATTATTCTGTGATGATCAGAGAATGAGCACTCGAGTGATACTCTCCAATCAAGAATTCTGACTGAGTCTGTGTTCCCTACCAAAGTAATATCAATGACCTGTTCCCTGATCCTATTGAAAAACGTTGGTCTATTACCCCTATTGCAAACACTAAGGTTAGTAGTTAGAAGGTATTGAAGTAAACACTCACCCCTGTCATTTATATCCGAGCTCCCCCACAGAGTATGATGGGCATTAGCATCACATCCTATGACAAGATCATGGCCCCTTGTATCACACCATTCTATTAGTGTGCGTACGGCACGTGAGGGCGGATTGTCTTCGTCGTACGGTAGGTACGCAGATGATATAATTAGAGTTGGTAGCCCCCGTCGCTCTAATGCAACCGTTAAATCACCAGAACTGTAATTAGATGGAAGGAAAACTTTAATGTCTTTCCTGACCAAAATACAGCTCCTTATTTTACCTTCAGGGATTGGAGAGAGGAGCACATAGTTTCGTGACCGGACGCCTCGAACTTTACTGGCTGCAAGCCAGGGTTCTTGGATTAAGGCCACTTGGATAACTTCCTTCTCCACAAAGCGCAGCAAGTCGTCCGTTGCTGCTTCGGAGTGGTGCAGATTAATCTGTACCACCCTCAGGCCGCTTGGACTCATCACTGCGCTTCTCTGCGGGCAAGATCAACCGAAGTTGGTTGAGCCCGTACTTTATGATGCCTTGAGAGGAACGAAGGAGTCGGAGGGATTCTGAACCAATTTTGATCCAGAGATCCTTACCTTCTCCATTGTCCCTCGTGCGTCCTCGTTCTATCGTCCAGTCATCAGTACCAAGTTCCTTATTCTGACGCTTGATTAGTGTTAGTATGGATTTGTCCTCCAGAATAGGAGGAGGAACCCACACTCTCACCGTCGTACGAAAAGGTACTTGGTCCAGTGGGACGATTTCAATCTTCGCGTTGGGTCAGGGTTCGCCAACTCCTCGGATGCAGTTTTTGAGAAAGCCTATGGCTTTCTCATTACCGCATCCGATGATTTTGACCATTTGGCGCCATCGAACGCAGTAAAGGAGTCATCCTCACTGCGTGCGAGTTCGTCAACTAGTGCCCGCAAGATCTTCTCCTCCAGAAGTAGCCATCTGTCGTAGTAATTTTCCCATCGGGATGACTACGGTCTATGATGGCTACTTGTAGCTCAGGTGCTGATGTTAAGCTAGATGATGGTTTCAACCGCTTACCCTCAGACACCTGCGTTTCACCTGACCTTTGCCGCTTTATACTAGGCCTGCTTTGGTCATCACCTCTCTTTGGTCCCGACGTGGCCTTCTTTGATGAAGATGGCTGTACGTTGAGATTCTCCGAGACATTGATCGTGTTCGGTCCAGTGCTGGCATGGGGCACATGTATAGATGTGGTCACATGCCTGCTCTGGTTTGGTTCTGTCTTAGTCGTGGCTGGCCTGACCTCCACAACAGTAGTATTCAGCATGGCCTCATACTTCTGTATGTGGTAGGTATGTTTACGCCGCAAACGCTTTTCTCGGGTAGTCAGAGTCGCAGGATCCCTAGAGTCCAGCGATCTGACGTACCGGAGAGAGCGTTTGTAGCCCGCCAACCTTTTCCGTTCGTCCTGTTCCGTGTCCTGTCCTTTGTTTGTATGTTTTTGGTCTCCCTTAATAGAGTTTCCCTTTGCAGGGTCTCCTTTTACAGGGCCATGGGCCTCTGGATTTTGTCCGTTTTCCTCCGCGTTTTGCGGCTCAGAGGACACCATGCGCACGTCCTTGCCTATAGAGAATATTTATGGAAAATTTCAACCGTCTAGCTCATTCCGATCAGACTCTATCTTGCTTTCAACAGACAGACGGATGGACATGGCTAGATCATCTTAGAATTTAATAAGAACACAGAATGTATATACTTTTGTGGGTCAATGAGTTTCGATTGTTACAAACGATGTGTTACAAACGGAATGACAAAATCAATATACCCCCATCTTTTTTGATGGTGGGTATAAAATCTTTTATTGTTTGCTATTACGATCAGTTCAAAAATGATGCTAAGAAAAGACTGCATTTTATAAAAACTGCTATAATGCAATTGCTCATATTTGAATATACAAAACAAATCAAATAATAAACAAATAAAAAAATCTGATATATAGTTATGAGCACTTAATGTTTCTATAACAAGATTAGCTTTGGCAACACTCTGCAACAGCTACTACTTATAAGTTTAAAATTAAGATGTAAACTTACATAACACGGGCCAACAAATTTTTAACCCAGAGACCAAAATATACTGAATCCGAATCTAAAAATTTATGCATCACATCTGGTTTTTCAGATATGGTGCCGTGAAGTTAGAACAGCACCCATTTTTGGTCATATTTGAGACGCTATAACAGCGCGAAGATATCTCTATTTATAAAATATGTTATGTCATCTAAAGGTCCAATCTGTCGACGTTATATTAAACATTTAAACAATGTTAATACTTCTTCTTTATTCCGATTTTAGTTCTCTGGATTTCGACATTTATTAAATTTTATTGGCCTGTGTTATCTTCAGTTTCTAATGGATGATTTACCCTGTCACAAAGATTGTTAAAAATCTATATTTTGTGCACTAAGTACGACAATCGTGTTATCAGTTATCTTGATAATGTAAACTGGCCGCTACCCCATAACCACATAGGTTATTTTAAAAACCTCGGTTTCGAAACGTTTGACAACATTGCTATTCACGTTTATATACATATAGTTTTTATAGGAATTACATAGCTGCATTAAAAAATGTGAACTAATTCGAAAGTATGGCCTAAAACCTAGACATTAATAATTCACTATTTATGAACAGAATTTTGCATTTGCAAACATATCCGGGAAACTTTTTAATTGAACACTTTTGTGGATATTCCACAAGAATCAAATAAAACACGGTTATTTTTGGAATACATACAAAATTTAAACGTATTTATTTAATTATTTATTACTTTGTTACATACAACTGTATTAATATTGGTAAATATTTCATTTATTTTTGTTTTTTATATAAATAGTACATTTTTTTAATTTATTTGATTTATATTGTATTTATAATATGTTTCTGTGTATACATATGTATATTGTATTTGTTCGTATGTATTTTTAATAATATATGTATTTAGATAAAATTCTAATTAATTAAAACTAAATAATTCTAATATGGACAAACATACACACTTACTTAATAACTACAAATAAAATTAAAATGTAAATATATGTGTATAAGTACATATGTATATGTAAGTATGTATATATTATATATTTATATTTAGATATTAATGTATATATTTAACAAAATTATACAAATTACTCGTCTTATTTAAAAATACATTACTTTTTTTTAATTGTTGCATCAAGAAATATGTTATGTTATTGTCAAAAATTTTACATCGGGCAAATATTAATATAAACCTAATAAGGCACATACGATTAAAATTGTTTTTATTTTTTTAAATTTTTTCTAAAACTTTTTATCTTTCAGTTATAATTCAAATAAAGTTTCTTACGCGCACTTATGTTATTGTACATAAACACACATATGTACATATGCATGATTGATCATATTAATTATAGAGATTTGATTAAATTACTTCGAACTAGATTAAATTATTTATTTCAAACAATCGAAGAAATAAGACTTGTATTTATAATATTACTTAATTATTAGTTTCAAATTATATTGGAAAATAAAGAAAAAAAATATTATTAAATACATACAAATATATTATTTTAATTTGAAAAAAAAAAAAAATGAAAAAAGAAAGAAATAATAAGCAATTCTATTGACCAGCATCGCTAAATATATTAACATCCACATACACTTTCTGTCGTAAACACAGCCACCACACACAAACAGCCGCACACAGATCAGTCAGACAGACAGACAGTACATATTCAATTACATTTGTAATTGAAATATTTGTTTGAATTTGATGTCGATTTAATTGTTTATGTTTTGCGATCAAGTTCAATTATCTTGGTATGTGGTTTGAAAGTTCAGCAAAATTAAATAATTTCAATGTCTGTCTGCCCGACTGTCTCTCTGCATTCATCTGAATGTATGAGTGTTTGTGCTTAAAACCAATTTAATATAATATCAAATCTAGAAATGTCTGTGCGTGTGTTAGATAATGTTTTTTTAGATAAACCTAGATAACAATAAAATGTGAACAAAATCAAAATATTCTCAATCAAATTCAAATTGATTCTATTTGATTTTCTCCTTCATACAACACTAATTGCCAAATTTCAAAGAATTATGGCCGGTTCATTTTATCTTCTGGGTTTGCCAAAACTACTTGACGGTCCATTGCCATATATGGCCTGTCCCCCACCGTTGCCATAGATGGCACCATTGCCATTCATCATGGCTGCTTGTTTACGTTGCAGTGTGGCCGGTCCCATAGATCGTGGATCATCGGGTCCATCGTTTAGATCTAGGCCGGCTACCATTTGAGCAATTTCACGTTCTTTCTTCATATCGGGAGGATTAAATTGTAGACTAGCTAAGGAACCATGGCTGCGACTGCGATGTTCCTGACGTATGGAATAGCTAAATGCGCGTTCATTCAAATGGCCTTTTCGCCTATAGATACCGGTGCCACCGGGCGACTCTGCTCCAGAGTTGCCGGAATCGTCTAGACCATTACCCATGGAGGCGGCTAATTTTCGACTTGACATTGCTAGAGGTCTGGGCTCCCCAATCATCGATTGAGCCATGACACTTTGTGGTGGTGGTGGGGGTGTAGGACCACCCATAGCCTGTGCGTGATGATAAGCATAGATCGGTGGTACAATCGGCATGCCTACCGGAATGCCTGTGCTTTTCTTATCCTTCTTCTTCTTTTTCGTTGAAGTAGAGGGTTGCAGGGTGGCGTATTGTTGTGGCATCATAACGGGCAACTGCATTGGTACACCCATGTGATGTGGTGGTGGACCATGCATCATTTGTGGATGCATTTGAGGTGGCATGCCGGGATGATGATGATGCGGTGGTAGGGGAGGACCTGGTGGAAATCCTCGATGACTTATCGTATGGTAGTTTCTACCCATGGGTGGTTGTGGTGGTCCGGGCAGGGCTCCATAAATCATACTACCCGGTCCTGGTCCCATTGGTATGCCATGACGTTGTAAAGTTGCCGGATGTATTGGTTTTGGTCGTATCAGTGTACCCGATAGACTTTGACTACTTGAGGATTTGGATGATTTCTTATCTTTCTTCTTTTTGCTCTCTTCTTTCATGGGTGGTGGTGGGACATCGATTGGTTGACTAATTTGTCGTAAACGTGCTGGACGACCTAATGTCGATGTATTGCCTGAGTACATGTCGTAGGGACTTTCCATTACAATGCTATCTAGTTGATCTTGTGAACCGTTCCATACTTTATGATTCGCATCGCCGTTATACAATGAAGCATCGCCATCGTCGACAGCGACATTAAGATCTGCACTGCTGCCATAAACTGAAAGTAAAAGAAATAATGGAAATTAGTATTACTAAGTGCTTATTCAAATAAAAAATATATATAAATATAACATTTGCTAAATAAAATTTGACCAAATATTATATGCTGAGGTAAAAAATTGGGTCTCTGAAATATTTGAACATCCAATATTTACATTCTATTCCTGTGGGGCTATAACTGATGATTAATTGCTCCTAAACGCTTTGTTGACATATTCCAGACGCAATATATACACAAGGAGGTGGTAAAAATATCATGATATAATGAGGAGCATTGTAGGTCAAGGTAATAAAACGAAAACACTTTAACCATACTAAGAACTGGTAAATATAATTACCCTGAAATCAATAATGTTTAATTCTATTTTAATATGTACCGTTAAGTCAACCTTAAGAATTTATATTATTTCTCTATATTAATATAACACCCCATAAATTAGTCCTTCATAATATTGATTTCGCTTTTTTTATTGAAACCACATTAATATTGATGAACATTCATCAATTCATTCAATCATACGCAATTATCGCTATTAATAACTGAAAATATTCTATTGCTTCATGCTGTTTACTCAACAATTATAGTCAATGACTGACATCGAATGGATTCATATATAGCAGCAAAATAAGTTTCTATACACAATTTCAATTACTACAGATACTTAGATACAAACGCACTTAAACACTTAAGTTAACCTTGAATGTTTCTATCACCTTTCGTTTAGCAATGAAAATCTAAAAAAAGCCCCAACAAAAATAATAAACAAACATTTTACTACTACACTTGTGTCACATTTTTGGCAATTATGTTTGTACGACTGACTCGGAACATCATCATAATCATATGACCAAAATAAATCAAAATAAAACATATTTATTTGATACACAGGTTTAACATACTTTAACGGAATTATTGGGGACTTTGTCATCCTCGTTTAAAAGAAATTAACACGTACGAATGTGCATAAAAATAAATATATTTTTACTATATTTATTATAACTATTTATCAATTCGTTACAGGTTTTTGAATAAATAATTGTGAAATTTAATTTCAAAACAAACTCAAATTCTCAAGTTTATGAATTTGAATAATTTGTAATTTTTTTGAAAAATATTAAATATTAGCCTAAATTGCTTAAGGTCTAAGTGACCTTTTTGTGGTTATATTTGATGAAATTATTTAGTCCACTCTTGTTATAGGGTGGTTCAATGCTAAAACGTGTTATCACATGAACCAGACCAACATGAGATTCGTCTAACAATTATTGCATTAGCTTTACCAAAAAAACTTAAAAAAATATTATTAATATTAATGTTCATAAGCGTAATAAAAAGTACTCAAGAAGAATGTTTAAATGAGGGGAAATACCTCATAAGAAACCTGAAAAAGAAGTGTAATTTTATGAAAGACATTTTATATTTTAATGGTGGCCGGTATTAACGGTTTATTTTGAACATTTAAACCGTTTGCCAACAATGTATTTATATACCTTGTTTTGGTAAAATTTTGCTCTCGTATTTTGTGTTATAAATAATAAGGCATGTCACAGAGCATAATATACAATGTATAATAATACCTTGAGATAGACCTTCTTGAATTCTTTTTAAAGAAATTTTCCTCGAATATTGTCTATAATTAAAATTTATTTGGTCTCGAAAATGAGCAATAACTGTCAATTTCCCTAGACCAAATAAAAATGTCAACCGGAATAGGGTTTGGACAGACTATATACCCTGAAATCTTACTGATCAGTTTTGTATGAATTGGATCTAATTTAACTTTAATCCCTATATAAGGTTCCGTACATAACTGGTTTAAAAATAACAGGAATTTGACTCAAGCACTTACCCATTAAAAATACTTTTCGAAAACCCCCAGTTTTATTGGTGGTTACATTGGATTTGATATAGTGGAATATAACTTACTTATTCCAATATTCTAGTCCTTACTTCCGCAATTTATAAACCCAGCTAAAAACATATATGTTTATATATGAATCATATATGGATCATATGTATTCATATATGTATATTCATATCCGAAAAATTAAGATATATAAACACATAAACATGTCATCAATGTCACATATATGAAATTTTTTTCGATAATATATGCACAATTCGGATATGAACATAAGTATATGAAAATATATGTATTCTTCTAAGGTTAAGCAAGACTATCAAATAACAGCTAACTACGGATGACAGTGTACGGATCGGTTGTAAAGCCCTTGCCTAGTCGTCCAAACTTGTGGGAATAACACTAATAATAATATAATAAAACCAGCAGGAGAAACCACAATTGGCGGACTGCAAAAAACCGACTACTCAACCTTCCGTTGGTAGTTTGGTTCTAAGCAGCAAATGTGTCTCTTGATCGTCCAACCAAGTTCCTATTTATGTAGCTGAAAAACCTCTAGTTAGTATACCAGCAAAGCCATCTAAAATTCGTATAGTCAGCAGGGCTTACGAGATCACAAGTAATAGGCTGAAGCTTGCGTTGGCTAGGAGAAATGTTAGCCGTCGCGAAACTTAGTGTATTCCAAAAACCTAGACCTTCCAAACTGAAACTACAAAACTTCGCTCCTGAAGGTGCGTACGGAAAAGGCGGTTATCACTTCGAGAGGGGCAAGTCTAAATATCCTAGGGGCTCGATAATATAAAGATGTGCGTTAAAAAATTCGATACCTAAAAAAATATTTGATGTGGGCGAATGACAGACCATTTATTCTAAGATTTTATTCAGTTAAAGCGATTTGGCGTCATACCAAACATTTCTTATCAACAGCAAATATTTTGTGAGAATTCCTTTCACCTCATACTCTATCCTACAATACCAACAATTCATGAATAGAAAGAATTAATCAAAGAATTTCAAAATAACCAAAAATATACATTTCAAAATATTTCGCAAATGCATATCAACTAAACTGTGAGGGCCCTATATATTTGTAACTTCTCTACATATATTGAGTGTTCAAAGTTTAAGCTTTATGTTTGTTTCGATGTATGTATGTTGGCCTCAACTTAATATTTAGGTGACAAACACCAATTTTACGAGTATGTTGATCTGTTTTCATTTCCTATTTTATTTCTTTTTCAAATATTTCACATTTTTTTTGCTGTAATTTTTATTATTCATTTGTTATCTACTTTTGGCTCTATCATGAGAAAAAAAAACATTTGTTTTGTTTATTTTTTTCTTAATTTCTTTAAAAGTTTAATGAACTTAACACTAAAAGTAACAACAACAATTACAATAATTGTTGTATGAAATACCACGGTGATAATGAAGATGACGATGGTTTAAGTACAAATGTTGTTTAGAGTATTTTTCATTATTATTTGTCAAGTGCTTTTTATTTGTCATCTTGCCGTCTTCACCAAAAGTAAGTTTTATTTTCTTAATAAAATTATTTTTACTATTAATTATAAGAAAAGCCACCAAGAAAAAAAGTGTTGTTTAAAAGTGCTCGTTTTGCTCTGTTTGTTTGTTTTAAAAGAATAACTCACTCTAATACATAATTTTTTTGTACTTGAAAATTATGCAAAATAATTACGTATATTCATAAAAGTAATAATTACCCACTTACAACATGGTAATGACTTGTACTTACCCAAAAACTTCGTTTTTAATTTAACTACATAGCGTTTGCATTACTTAGAAGGAGTCTAGTAATGACTTAAGACTTTGGTTTCGAGTTTTATTTGTTACACAAATGGAAAAAACTAATATATTTGTGAAAACTGTTAGTATACGCAGTGCACGTATCTTCGTCGACAATATTTTTTTCAAAGATAAAAATAACTTCCTTAACTTCTTATTAGCAAGCGATCGAGGTATGTACTTCTTTAATTCCTTATTTGTGAGCAGTTTGTGGTAAGTTCATACCTCCAATATCATATCCATGTTAAAATAATGACTAAAGCATTTTAACCCCTTACTTGAGAATTAAAGTTTTTGCTGGGTATCTATTTGAAATAAATTAATGCCCACGTGGAATGGTGACAAAAATGATAATTGTTTTATTATCTCAGAAATGTTTCACATGTTGTTCTTCTTAGAGTTAATAATTTGATTGAATAATTTCTTTATATCGAATAGTTTCTATAAATAGATAATTTATGATAATCGTTTTTATATACATATTTTATATACAAACAGATATCACTCGCTTAAAATTATTCAATATATTTGACTTTAAACTTCGGCCTATATAAAAATAAAAATTTCGAATATAATTAGCTCTTTATGACTGCATGACTACAAGTGCATAGAAACAAACAGATTTTCCGCTTCAGTCATTTTGTAATACAAATTAAAGGTGTAATGTTTGAAGCAATTATAACAAATGAATTGCATAACTTGCAACAAAATGAAAATTTTGAAGAAAAGTGGTAAATTGTAAATTTGTATCATGTATACGTATGAATGCATCTTTGTATGGTTTTTGTGATTTTTTTTTTTTTTGTAAATATTCAATACTTATGATGGAAGTACGATTATGAACAAAATCTAAGCAGAAGAGCATGCGTGCGTGAATAGTAAATTTCCGTGTTAAGTTTATGAGGGTAAATTATTTATTGCAGTTTTCTGCAAGTTTTTATTTAATTTTTTTTGATTTTTCCTCATAAGGGTGCAGCTCTAAATCATTTTTGGCGGACTCATCATGTTATATTTATTTATAAAATATTGCAATTGTTGATTGTTTATAAAGTTAAGTTGTAAATTAATGATTTTACACACAGGAAGATGCAGACAGTTTTCAAATTAAACTATAATAAACATTACTAATACGGCGCCTTTTTTTAATGAACAGATTTATCAGTTAACTAAGAAAAACATAATAAAATTTATATATATTGTCATATTAAGTAATTTTTCAATTTTATTTGCGTAATAACAACACAAACTCTACAAAAATTGTACAGTTGAATTTTCTAAATATTTATATTTTTATCTACATTGAGAAGATGCATTCTTATATGTACTACTA